CACCCCTCCCCAGGCATTCACCAAACTATAATCTGTGTCCATAAGTTATGCATATATGCATACAAGTTCTTTGGTTAATCTCTTCCCAACCACCTCTGCCTTCCCTCTGAGATTCCCCAGTCTGTCCATGCTTCTATGTCTCTGGATCTATTTTGTTTATCAGTTTATTTTGTTCAATAGATTCTACATATGAGTGAGATCATGTGATACTTGTCTTTCTCTGACTGGCTTATTTCTCTTAGCATAATACTCTCCAGGTCCCTCCATGCTGTCTCAAAGAGTAAAAGATCCTTTTTTACTGCTGCATGGTATTCCATGGTGTAAATGTACCACAGCTTTTTTATCCACTCACCTACTGATTGTCACTTGGGCTGTTTCTAGGTCTTAGCTATTTCAAATTGCGCTGCTGTGAACAGTAGTTTTTGCTGGAGTCTTGAGGGTTTTCTATGTACAATGTCATATCATCTGTGAATAATGAGAGTTTTACTTCCTCCTTTCCAATTTGGATGCCTTTATGTTTTCTTCTTGTCTGATTACTGTGGCTAGGACTTCCAGTACTATGTCGAATAAGAGTGGTGAAAATAGACATCCCTTTCTTGTTCCTGTTTTTAGGGGAAATTGTTTTTGTTCTGCCCATTGAGAATGATGTTGGCTGTAGGTTTGCCGTATATGGCCTTTATTATGTTGAGGTATGATCCCTCTATTCCCACTTTGCTAAGAGTTTTTATCAAAAATGGGTGTTGGATTTTGTTGAATGCCTTTTCTTTTTTCTTTTTTTTCTTTTTTGTTTCGTTTTGTTAGAACACTCAACAAAATTAAATTCCCGTTTATTGCTGGACAACATTGTTTCAGACATACATCAGACAGGCTAAATAAATAAATAAATAAACAAACAGCAACTTCATAGACAAAAAAAGGGGAAAAAAGAAATCTTTTTATCTTTGTCTTTTAAACTATCTTTTACAAACCAGCTACGTATAATACAGCTAAGGACATACACAAAGAGTTACTGAATGCTCAGCATAAAATTTTTTGTTGTTGTAGTTAAAATTTTTTTTATTTAAATTCTTTATTGTTTAAAGTATTACATGAGTCTCCTTTTCCCCCCATAGACCTCCCCCAGCTGCTCCCACCCCTCAGCCCACTACTGTCTGTGTCCATTGGTTATGCTTATATGGATGCATACAAGTCCTTCGGTTGATCTCTTATGCCCTCTCTCTCCCCTGCCTACCCTCATAGGTTGGACAGTCTGTTTCATGCTTCTTTGTCTCTGGTTCTATTTTTGTTCATCAATTTATGTTGTTCACTATATTCCACAAATGAGTGAGATCATGTGATAGTTATCTTTCTCTGACTGGCTTATTTCCACCCCCCCCCCCCTTTATTGATTAAGGCATTACAAATGTGACCCTCAGTGCTCCCCCACCCCCCAATCCTGCTCTCACCCTCACCCCCTGTTGTCTGCATCCATTGGTTATGCTTATATGCATGCATACATGTCCTTAGGTTGATCTCTCCTCTTACCCCCACCCTCCCTACTTTCCCTCTGAGGTTTGAGCATCTGATCGATGCTTCTCTATCTCTGGACCTGTTTTGTTCATCAGTTTATGTTGTTCATTATAATCCACAAATGAGTGAGATCATGTGATATTTATCTTTCTCTGACTGACTTATTTCACTTAGCATAATGTTATCCAGCTCCATCCATGCTGTTGCAAATGGTAGGAGTTCCTTCCTTTTTTACAGCAGCATAGTATTCCATTGTGTAGATGTGCCACCGTTTTCTAATCCACTCATCTGCTGATGGGCACTTAGGCTGTTTCCAAATCTTAGCTATGGTGAATTGTGCTGCTATGACATAGGGTTGCATATAACCTTTCTGATTGGTGTTTCTGATTTCTTGGGATATATTCCTAGAAGTGGAATTACTGGGTCAAATGGAAGTTCCATTTTTAATGTTTTGAGGAAATTCCATACTGTTCTCCACAGTGGCTGCAGCAGTCTTCATTTCCACCAGCAGTGCAAGAGCATTCCTTTTTCTCCACATCCTTGCCAGCACTTAGCATTTGTTGATTTGTTGATGATAGCCATTCTGACAGGTGTCAGATGGTACCTACTTGTCGTTTTGATTTGTATCTCTCAGATGATTAGTGACTTTGAGCATATTTTCATATGTCTCTTAGCCTTCTGTATGTCCTCTTTCAAAAAGTGTCTATTTAGGTACTTTGACCATTTTTTGATTGGATTGTTTATCTTTCTTTTGTTAAGTTGTATGAGTTCCCTATAAAGTTTGGAGATTAAACCCTTATCGGAGATAATATTGGCAAATATGTTTTCCCATGCAGTGGGCTTTCTTGTTGTTTTGTTTATGGTTCCTTTTGCTGTGCAGAAGCTTTTTATTTTTATATAGTCCCATTTGTTTATTTTCTCCTTAGTTTCCATTGTCCTAGGAGCTGTATCAGTAAAGATATTGCTACAACATGTCTGCTATTTTGCTGCCTATGGATTCTTCTAAGATTTCTATGGTTTCCTGTCTTACATTTAAGTCCTTTATCCATTTTGAGTTTTTTGTTTGTGTGTATGATGTAAGTTGGTGATCTAGTGTCATTTTTTTTGCATGTATCTGTCCAATTTTCCCAACACCATTTATTGAAGAGATTGTCTTGAACCTGTTGTATGCTCTTGCCTCCTTTGTCAAATATTAATTGAACATAAAGGCTTGAGTTGACTTCTGGGTTCTCTGTTCTGTTCCAATGGTATCTATATGTCTGTTCTTGTGCCAGTACAAGGCAGTTTTGAGGACAGTGGTTTTGTAATATAGCTTGATATCTGGTATTGTGATCCCTCCAACTTTGTTCTTCTTTCTCAAGATTGCTGCAGCTATTTGGAGTCTTTTTTTATTCCAGATGAATTTTTGGAGAGTTTGTTCTAGGTCTATGAAATATGCCCATTGGAATTTTAATGGGGAGTGCATTGAATCTTTAGATGGATTTGGGTAGTATAGACATTTTAATGTTGATTCTACCAATCCATGAACATGGTATATTCTTCCATTTGTTTATGTCTTCCTCCATCTCTTTTTTCAGAGTCCTGTAATATTCTGAGAACAGGTCCTTTACCTCCTTTGTTAAGTTTATTTCTAAGTATCTTAACGTTTTTGTTGCAATGGTAAATGGGATTGTTTTTTTTTTAGTTTCTCTTTCTGTGAGTTCATTATTGGTGTATAAAAAAGCCATAGATTTCTGGGTGTTAATTTTGTATCCTGCTACATGCTGAATTTATTAAGTCTAGTAGTTTTTTGATAGAGTCTTTAGGGTTTTCTATGTACAGTATTATGTCATCTTCAAATAATGACAATTTTATTTATTATTTTCCAATTTGGATGCCTTTTATTTTTTCTTCTTGTCTGTTCTCTATGACTAGCACTTCCAGTACTATGTCAAACAGGAGTGGTGAAAGTGGGCATTCCTGTCTTGTTCCTGTTCTTAGGGGAAATGGTTTTAGTTTTGAGTATGATGTTGGCTGTAGGTTTGTCAAATAAGGCTTTTATTATGTTGAGGTATGATCCCTCTATTCCCATTTTGCTGAGGGTTTTTATCAGGAAAGGGTGTTGGATTTTGTCAAACAGCCTTTTCTGCATCAATTGATATGATTATGTGATTTTTGTCTCTCTGGTTGTTTATGTGATGTGTCAGGTTTATTGATTTGCAGATATTGTACCATCCTTGCATCCCTGGAATAAATCCCACTTGGTCATGGTGTATGATCTTTCTAATGTAATGCTGCATCCAACTTGTTAGAATTTTGTTGAGTATTTTACCATCTGTGTTCATCAGGGATATTGACCTATAATTCTCTTTCTTTGTAGTGTCTTTATCTGGTTTTGGAATTAGGATAATGCTGGCCTCATAAAAAGAGGTTGGAAGTGTTCCTTCTTCTTGGATTTTTTGGAATAGTTTGAGTAGGGTAGGTGTTAGTTCTTCTTTGAATGTTTGGTAAAACTCCCTTGTGAAGCTATCCAAACTAGGGCTTTTGTTTGCTGGGAGATTTTTTATTACTGCTTTTATTTCATTAGTAGTTATTGGCTTATTCAGATTTTCTTCTTCCTTATTCAGTTTTGGAAGACTGTTTTCTTTTCTATGAATTTTTCCATTTCATTCACATTGTCCAGCTTGTTGGCATATAGTTGTTCATAGTATTTTCTTACCATTCTTTGTATTTCTGTGATGTCAGTTGTTACTTCACCACTTGCATTTGTTATTTTATTTATTTGAGTCCTCTCTCTTTGTGTCTTGGTGAGTCTGGCTAAAGGTTCATCAATCTTGTTTATCTTTTGAAAGAACCAGCTCTTGATTTCATTGATTATTTTTGTGGTGTGTGTGTGTGTGTGTGTGTGTGTGTGTGTGTGTGTGTTGTCTCTATGTCATTTATTTCTGCTCTAATCTTCATTACTTTCTTCCTTTTACTTGCTTTGGGGCTTTTCTTGTTGTTCTCTTTCTAATTCTTTAATGTGTAGGGTTAAATAATTTATTATTAATTTTTCTGGGGTTTTTTTTTAGGTAGGCCTATAATGCTATGAACTTCCCTCTCAGAACCGCTTTTACTAAGGATGCTCTTAATATCCCTATTTTATGAAGAAATAAATGGAGACAGAGAGACATTATGTTGCCCGCTAAAGATCGCACAGCTAAGTCAGATTATGCATCCATGCATGCTGGCTATAGATGCATTACCCAGAGACAATTTTGAGGAAAATAAATATAATCCTACACAGTGTGTGTGATATTACAGGCTGTTCATCTCTCTTTTCTAACAGTAATGAAGAGCTGTTTAAACTCTCCTCTCTGGATGTTACCCATGCTACCCTGGTGGATAAATTCTGGCATTTCGGTGGCAATGAGAGAAGCCAGAGATTCATCAAGCGCTGTATTCAGACCTTCCCCTCCTTCTGTCTTCTGGGGCCTGAGGGAACCCCTGTGTGCTGGAACCTGATGGACCAGACAGGAGAGATACGAATGGGGGCCACCCTGCCTGAGTACCGGGGCCAGGGTCTAATATCCTATATGTTGTTTGCCACTACTCAGGCTTTGGATAAACTTGGCTTTCCTGTATATAACCATACAGACAAAGCCAACAATATCATACAGAAAGCCAGTCATAATCTGCACCATGTCCGCTTGCCCTGTGACTGGAACCAGTGGCAATGTGTGCCTCTTTGAAGCAGCCCTGAACACAAGGCAGTGTTGAGTGGGTTGGTCCTACAGCAGGAGAAACATGTGGATGGATGCAAAGAAAAAAGGAATGATGATCAGCAATAAAGCAGTTCATATTTTGTGAGCTCTGTAGAAGCAGTGTGGGTGGTCAAGAGGACTGACACAGTCCTGCTCATGAATTTCCCCTGGGTCCAGCAGACCTGGCATAGACAGAACTTGCTGTAGTGAACCCTGATCTTGTTCTGTTTCCTACACTTCTGGATCTCAGTGATACTCTTTATTAAACTTCACACTGCCCTAACACTTCTCCTGGTCTCTTATCTCCATGTGGATTGTTGTTGTCAATGGGGAAATTGGACAGGTACATTGCAAAAAAAAAAAAAAAAAAAGAAAGTAGGCCACCTTTATACCCCACACAAGAATAAACTCAAAATGGATCAAAGATCTAAATGTTAGACCTGAAACCACAACAATCCTAGAAGAAAACATAGGCAGTAATATCTTGGACATTTCTCATAGCATTATATTTTCTGATATATCTCCTAGGGCAAGGGAAACAAAAGAGAAAAGTAAATGTGACTATATAAAACTTAAAAGTTTTGGACAACAAAGGAAACCATCAGCAAAAGGTAAAGACAACCTACTGAATAAGAGAACTTATTTGTGTATACATCTGATAAGAGGTTAATATCCAAAATTTGTAAAGAACTTATAAAACTCAACACCAATCAAACAATCCAGTTAAGAAATAAACAAAGGACCTGAACAGGCACTTCTCCAAAGAGGACAAGCATGGCCATTAGATATATGAAAAGATACTCAACATTACTAATCACCAGAGAAATGCAAATTAAAACCACAATGGGATATCCCTTTGAGATAGCATGGAGGGACCTGGACAGTATCATGCTAAGTGAAATAAGTCAGTCAGAATGGCTATTATCAATAAATCAACAAATAACACATTTTGGTGAAGATGTGGATAAAGGCAAACCCTTGTGCACTTTTGAAGGAAATGCAGATTAATGCAGCCATTTTGAAAAGCAGTATGGAGTAAGCTTAAAAAATTAAAAATGGAACTGCTTCATGACCCAAGATTTCACTTCCAGGAATTTATCTGAAGAAACCTGAAACACTAATTTTTTTAAATAAATCTTTATTGTTGAAAGTCTTACATATGTCTCATTTTTCCCCCCATTGACACCATCTAGCCCGCCACTACCCCCCACCCCAGGCCTTCACCACCCTATTGTCTGTGTCCATAGGTTATGCATATGTGCATACAAAATCTTCAGTTGATTACCTCCCACCCACGCACATTCTCCCTTCTTCCCTCCAAGATTCTGCACTCTATTCTATGCTTCCATGTCTCTGGATCCACTACGTTCATCAGTTTATTTTGTTAATCATATTCCACATATGAGTGAGATCATGTGATACTTGTCTTTCTCTGACTGACTTATTTCACTTAGCATAATACTGTCCAGGTCCCTCCATGCTATCTCAAAGGGTAAGAAATTCTTTTTTTCTACTGCTGCATAGTATTCCATGGTATAAATGTACCATGGCTTTTTTATCCACTCATTAACTGATGGGCATCTACTGATCTTAGTTATTGTAAATTGTGCTACTATGAACATAGGAGTGCATACATTCTCTGAAACACTAATTTGAAAGAATATATGCACCTCTCTGCTTATTATAGCACTACAATAGCCAAGATTTGGAAGCAGCCCAAGTACCCATTAGTAGATGAGTGGATAAAAAAAGCTATGTCACACACAATAGAATACTACTTAGCCATAAAAAAAGAAAGAAATCTTACCTTTTGCAACAGCATGGATGGACCTGGAGAATATTATTGTAAGTAAAATAATTCAATCAGAGAAAACACATATCATAAGATTTCACTTAAAGGTGGATTCTAATGAACAAAATAAACTAACAAACAAAATAGAAACAGACTCATAGCTGTCAGAGGAGAGGCAGTAGGGAGGCTGGGTAAAACAGGTAAAGGAATTAAGCAAAAAAAAATTTCATAGACAGAAAACAATATAGTCATTCCCAGAAAGAAATGTGGATAGGGGAACCTAGAGAGGGTTAATGGGAGATAAATGATGATGGAAAAAGACATAGAGACACAACGTGGGATAGTGACCACACAATACAATATATAATGTATTTTAGATTTGTACACCAAAAACTTATATAATTTTATTAACTAACATAACCCCAATAAATTCAATAAAAAAATAAAATTAAAAATAATAATAATGAATCTTAGCAAATATTTAAGTGTTTAGCACAGTATTGTTATCTATAAGCACAATGTTGTACAACAGATCTCTGGAACTTTTTCATCTTGCACAACAGACATACTTTGCCCTTTGAGCAAGTCATTATGCTTCCCCCTCCCCAGCTCCCAGTAAGTACCACTCTATCCTCAGCTTCTATGAGTATCATTACTTTAGATACCTCATTTAAATGGAATCATACATTCTTTGTCCTTCTGTGACTGGCTTATTTATTTAGCATAATGTCCTGAAGTTCACCTATATTGTCACATATGGCAGGATTTTTCTCTTTTTCAAAGACTGAATAATATTCCTATATGTATGTATATATATCAGTAGACCACATTTCCTTGATCAAGTCATCCGTTGAGAGACACTTAGGTTGCTTCCACTTCTTGGCTATTGTGAATAAGGCTGCAATGAACATGAGAGTGAAGAAAGCTATTCAAGGTCCTGATTTCAATTCCTGTGAATATATTCCCAGAAGTGGGATAGCTGGGTAATAAGATAGGTGTACTTTTTTGTGTGGAATTCTCATATTGATTATAACAGTAGCTACACTATTTTACATTCTTATCACTAGTGCACAAAAGTCCCAATTTCTCCATATCTTTGTCACACTTATTAGTTTCTGTCCCCCAAAAACTGAGCACAGGAAGAATTCAAAACCCTACCAAGTAAGTATTATTATTTACTGCTCTTTATATATACAGAAAAAGAGCACGAAAGATGAAAAAGTCTGTCCAAGGTCACATCGTAGGTAAGTAATGCAGTCAGGATCTCAATCCTGTTAGTTTGGCCCCATTGTTATCTCTCTGAGCCACTATGCTAGGCTGCTTCTATCATCATTGCCAGCACCTCACTCCATTACCCAGGGGAAAACACAGAGATGAAGACTGACACCAGAGCTCCTGAACCCCTTTCCTTGTACCTTATCCCAAAGAATGTAAGAAAATTTACATTCATTACTTCATGTAACACAGCAAGGATAAAAGCAGAGTCAAGGAAGAGCAGAACAATACTTGGTTATCTGGTACGAAAGCACTCTCGACAGCTGGGGAAACATCCTGGAGAGGTTAAGAAACTAGTTTAAGATACAAGGGAAGGGGGTAGAGGCCCTGGAATCTTCTGAGTGACTGAGTGCAGGTGATGGCCGAAGGAGAGAGAGGACTAGGAGTCTGACTTCAGGTGCTGGGCACAGAAGGATCCCACTCTTTTGTTGTAATCAACTTTAGTAAGAAACAGACACTACTTGGGGCCAAGGGGCCCACTCTATTGATAGTGACAGAATAGTTTCATTGGCCTTTGGCTTTAGAGAAAGAGTAATAAATGATCATAATGACTTTAACTCAGGAGATAAGATTGAAAATTAATAGTCTAGGAGGGACGAGACTCCTAGAAAGGGCAGAAAAAATATATGCAAACCTGTGTTGTGCTGATCCATGGACTGAAGGAGCACTCAAGCTCTTCTTTCTCTCTGGACACCAGTTACACCTGTCTCTGCTCCTCTGATTAGAGTTACTCTTGTTGCCTCCACACTGAAACTAATGTGGTAAGCAAGGATTAATGTGATGAGGGCAAGATAGAGGTAGTGTCAAACTTCCCTTGTTAGTTGTTTCACACAGTGGCTTTGATATTCAAAATATCACTTCTATGAATTCCCCTTTCTTTTCTGAGGATGGTAGAGCAAGAGTTAATGTGGGGCAGTGAGCACATTGGAGTGAAGAGTCTCTGAGTTTAAATTCTATCTAATTCAGCCATATTGAGCTTCCGTGTTCTTCTTTATAAAAGTGAGACTAAGCCCAGCCAGTATGGCTCCATGGTTGAGTGTCTACCCATGAACCAGGAGGTCACTGTAAGATTCCAGGTCAGGGCACAAGCCTAAGTTGTGGGCTTGATCCCCGGTGGGGGGTGTGCAGGAGTCAGCCAATCAATGATTCTCATCATTGATGTTTCTATCTTTCTCTCCCTTTCCCTTTCTCTCTCTCAAATCAATTAAAATAACTTTTTTTTAAAAAAAGTGAAACTAAGAAGTGCCCATATTGGATCATATTTAGGATGCTTATCTGAAGCTTCAGAATGGTCAGTGGAGATGGCAGTGCTTACACTAAAAAAGGAGAGTTCTAACAGTTTTAGTCACTCCATACATGTGATATTCTGTTCTGCATATGTGTAAGAAAATACATCAGATTCTATAAATCAGATCTCATCTATATCTTTCCTAAAATCTTGCTCTTATTGAAAATGAGAAGAGAAGAAAGAAAGTATTGTCTACACAGTCTTACTCTCCTACCAGTATCTGGCCTGGTAGTTTCACACACATTGTAGTGTCATAGTAGGGCCTGTGGGGGCAAAGAGCAACCTGGCATTTGGTGGGGGTAGTTCAGATGGCACACTGTCAGCCTCTGAATCTTGCAGAGCCAGCTCCTTCACCCTGAACCCAGAGAGGAAGGGTTGGATTTCATGAGAGCTGACACCAGAAGATTTTGCTTTGTGCACTGTCCACCTTGCAAGCCTCAGCTCAGCAATTTCTGGAGGAGACATACTGAAATGCACTCTGTTAGATCCTGTTGAACTGCCTGCATTAAAATGTAATTGCATTATTGAGAAGTCTTCCATTCTCATTTGTCTCTGGGGACACCTGTGAAGATTGGTGTGGAGACAACTCCCCAGGTAAGAACTTGTGCTTCTCTCCTCCCCGACAAAAGATAGGCATTGATTTTGAAATCCTCTCCGCTTAAGTGACACAAATCAAAATACTCCTATTGTGTTATGTTCATTAACTCCATATACCAAAGGAACATACATGTGGCACCTACTCTGTAAAAGCAACTTGTTAGGCACTATGAGCATTTTCTTGCAGGTTTCTGATCTGAACTGATAAATGAATGAGGAGAGAGTTGGCCACATTCTGGAAGCAGGTGGGTGAGTAAAGCACTTATGTTGGAGACACTGCAAACATCACTATATCTAATCCTCCTGGTTATAACTTTTTTGTTTAAAAGTTTAAAGGTCAATAAAGTGTTGGCACAACCTGATGACAGAGCCACGTCCTTGAACATAGGACCCAGGGGGAGGTTCTCCATCTCACACTCTGCTGCCTGAAGATTCCACAGCGTGCTACACGGGTTCTATTAAGAACCTCAGCTCACCTGTTGGGGGAGGAATCAGATCAAAGTACACTTTTCAAGATCACTATACTCAGAGGACATATTTCTTTCCCTGAAGATCTCTGCAGAGACTGAATGAGAGAACAGCTTTGCAGGTGAGAACAAGGGAGAATCATTACTCTGGGACCCCTCGTCTCCTTTTGCTTCCCCTCTGTAGGGGAATGATTCAGAATGCTACTGCTGGGTGTGCATGAAAATTTCTGGTTCATTTGTGTTGAGAATTCTGCAGGGGAAAAGAAAGCATTTCCATTTGAGGAACCTGTATTAGGAGCCTAGGGTGTATAGGGCAGTACCCTAGTTCTGTGAGAAATTCTTGACTGACTAAAGTCAGGCTTTTGCTTTGGATTGGTAAATAAATGTGAGAAGAATTGGGAACTTGCCATTGGTTGCGCAGAAAATGTAACAGCCCTTGGGAAGGAATATGCTGATTCAGGTGACATTTATATAGCAGTTTGTAGACATACTATACAAACGGTATCTTCTTTAATCCTTGGTAACATTCTAAGATAATCAGCTTTTTTTTCCCTTGGATAAATAATGACTAGGAAAATTAATTTCCCTGCTTAAAATTTCAAAAGGAGAAGGTATAGTCTAGTGCAAGGACTAAAATGCAGATGAGATTAATTGCTAAGTTAAAATCATAGAAAATAAATGTAATGTTAGTAATCTCAGCTGAACTGTAATTTTCCTAACTTTTTCATGTTCATTTTAAGACTCTCCTATTTGGCACCATAAATATCATAACTTTCATGTGAATGGGTCTTAGAGTCGTAAAATAATGATGGTCATTCCTTATGTAAATTATCTTTATAAAGAGAAACAAATTGTGTGCGGTACTTTCCCATCTGTTAATATTAATTCACAAAAGTTCATGGACATCAAAAGTAGAACAAGGGTGAACCTTAAATGGTCATTAAAGTAGGTAGATAAATGAATCTAGACAGCAGTGACTTTCTCCTGATATCTACAGGGGTTTGCAAATCCAAGTTTTAACACAATTGGAGCCTCATAAGAATACTTTTCTCCATAGTTCCTAACAGAGAGAGTTAGCCCATACTTCCCAGGAATATGCCAACTAACACCATCCTCCTCCCCAGTTCTCCCGTGAGAACCCTATAAACTTCCACTTAGAAGTAATGGCTCCCTCTTGTGAAATCTCATAGAGTTTAGGCAAAACTCTTGATTTTCCCTGTCCACTATTTTTGGTCAGCATGCTTGATCCAATCATCTTGAGAATCCCAGTTTGATGCAGTAAATCAAAACAGACAAATGCTCTTCATATTATGTAGTAATATACACTATATACACCTCACCCTTAGGTTTAAGGATGGGATAAGGTTCAAGAAGAGGTAAGGATTGGGGATACACTAAGTTAATCAGTTTTTAATATAATTTAATTATAAAATTGAAAAGAAAAATTATTTCTGTTTCAGACCACATCAAAATGTCCCCAGTAAAAAAGGCTGTATCAAAATGTCATCAAATCCACAGCACATATATGAAGTAATTTAGGGACATTTTCTTTAGTTATGTACATGTTTTATTTCCTTTATTAGATTGTGAGTTCTTAACAGGTAATTTGTTCAAGTTTCTTCTAAGCTCACAGTTGCTCAGATTATTGATCAGAGTTGTGTGTTTCAGTCAGGGTTCAAAGAGAAGCAGAAGTAGATGTGTCACAGGATTCAGCCGTCTGCACTTCTGTGTGGTAGTTCAGCAATTTCGGTAGGCTGTTTCTTCCCATATGCTGCTGAAGACTGAATTACTAGAAGAGGTAGTTGGGAAAGAGAAATTAATTTAAAGTGGAAGAGAATAAGAACAAGCTAAACCCACAGCACAAACTGGCCCTCACAGGAACAGAAACCTCATCAATTCTTGCTGACTTTGACCTTGGGAGAATGGGTACCCTGCAGAAGCCAGGCTCCTTCATTAGAGAGCTGAACACCATGCAGCTGATGACAGTGAAGGTGAAGGCAAACCCAGGGGACAGTGAAACCCTTGCCAGTCCAGCCACTGCCTCATGTCTCCAAGTCAGCTACAAAAAGCCTGTGGCTCCATCCTGCCTTCCAAGTCCCCCATAGAATCCCATAAAATCCAAAGGGAATTCCAGGAAATATAGTCCAGCCAAGCTGAAGTACACCTTACAAAGCCGCAATAGTAAAGTTCTCAATCAATAGTATGGTGATTACCAGAGGGAACTGGGGTGGCACAGGTGGAAGAGGTAAATGAGGGATAAATGATGTTGGAAGGAGACTAGACTTTGGATGGTGAGCAGATGTGCAGATGATGTATTGCAGAACTGCACACTTGAAACCTACGTAATTGTATTGACCAATGTAACCCTAATAAATTCAATAAAAAGTCTCAATCAGTGTTTATGGAGTGAATGAATAAATAAACAGGTTAATACTTAGATTTCCAGGCTAGTCACAAGTCCATTTACTTATAATGAAGCTGGGCCAAAGTATTGCTAAATAGAAAACAACTCTAGACTTAGGTAAGGAGAGAATTTATTTGAAAGGATTATTGCAAGAAGGAGAAAGGGGACTGTTATAATAGGGAGGGACACTAGTTCAACAGGGAGAACCCCAGAACTTCTTTTGTAAAAAGAAATAAGCAAGACACATGGAGTATCTTTCTGCCAAGGGTGGTCTTCTGCTGCCAATGCTGGACCCAGGCTGAGTGTGGGTCAAAGTTCAGTCCTGTGTAGAGGAGAGAGGCTTAAAGTTTAGTTAAATCCGCTAACACTTTGTTAGCACATCAGAACTTTGTCCTGGTAGACCGGTTTGCTAACCATTTACGAGGGAAGTGTAAACAGGTCTAGAGAGAATCCCCAAGGAAGCGAGGAATGCAAAAGAGGCAAGATGCATACAGCTCAGAGAATGTTTTGCCCCGAGTTCAGCCTCTTCTTGGTAGGGACTAAGAATGGGGTTATATGCTGACTCAGTCCAGGGGAAGGAGAGAAAATGAACTCAAGTTTGGTTTAAAGCAGTTTGTTCTGAAATGTCAGTGGGGATTCACAGTTAGCTAATCATTCATGAGACAAACATGAATTTGGAGCATCAGCATCTGGCTTTATTAGAGGTAAACAAGGAGGACAACCATGTGTCTTAAGTCAGATGGGGGAAGGCTGGTTCCTTGCAGTGAGCCATTTCAGAAATGCAAATTCGGTGGAAGAAATTCTTTAATCATTCATGTTTTCCAGGATAACAGGACTTGGGTAAAATTCAAAATTGTCCATCTGCCAAAGAATTGCATCTACTGAAATACACTTTGACCCCAGCATTTTGGCCAGCTTTGAGAATTAGCTCTACAAGTCTTCTTGCTTTACGTATTTGAAAGGTATTGTTGAGGATTTACTGTACGTGAATTATATCTCAATTAAGCTGAACAACAGTAATAAAAATAGCCTGGAGAACTTTTAAAAAAATATATAATTATACATCTCACATTCCCTTAAGAACTTCTAAATAACAACATACCAGAACCAGGATTAAGTAATTTTAATTTTTTCAGATGGCTCTAACACATAGTTGAGTTTGGAAAATGTTTCATTACATCATTTATTTGTCTCCTATATAAGGGCTCTTTAATTATTTTTTTTTTGCTCTAGAAGCAAGAAAAGATATATGCTTTATTTAAGTTAAAGTGATAACAATAATAAAAATGGCTGACACATACTGAATACGACTCCATGCCAGGCACCCTGTAAAGATTTAAAATTAAATGTCTCATTTACCATATGCCAGATTCCATGAATTCTCCCCCATTTAAACCTCATCACAAATTCTTGTGTAGAAAAAGAGTCACTCAATAGACTTTTTGGATGACAGTGTGGTTAAATGTTCTTCTACTAATGATAATAATCAACAGAATACTGATTATAATCATTAATTGAGTGCTTACCATGTCCCAGACACTGTTCTAAGAAGCTTACATGTACTTATTTATTTAACTGTTCAGTTACTCTGTGGTGCAGGTACTACAGTCATTGTCATTTATAGAGAAGAAAACCAAGGCACAGAGGAATTAAGTAACTTGCCCTGTGTCATATAACTTCTAACGGAAGCTTAATCTCAAAGGATGGTCATTCATGCTTAGAGAATATATTTCTTAATCTCTGTGAATCCTTAATTATTGGAATGCTGGATGATGTAAAAATCAAAATAATAATTTCAGAAATATTTTTTAAATTTAAAAAACAGTACAAATAATTTTAGAAAGAGGCATCTGTGCTTTCTGCCAGACTTATTCTTCCTTAGAGTTGGTGAAGAGTTAGTGAATGGGCACCAAGGAAATGACTGGGATAAAGGCCAGACCACTAGTTAGAATGCCTCCTCTGTCTGCTTTGTGTCTCTATATGTCTTCTAGCACTTCTCATTCCTTGATGTTTCTTGATCCCCTCTTTAGGATAAGGTACCTGCCAAGATGTTCCAATTACAAGGCCCACAATTGCTACAGATGCTAGAGAAATCCTTGAGGAAATACCTCCCTGAGTCCCTAAAGGTGAGAGTGGAACCTTCTAGGGGAAAAAAGGAATAGTGACTGCCTATGAAAAAGGTGGGAAAGAGAATTAGCATTCACTGAGCACCTGTTCTATGCCAGGCACTCACTCATCTTGCATCTCACATAGTCCACATCATCTTGCTGCCAGGCACTCATCTTGCATCTCACATAGTTCACGTCATCTTGCTGCAAGACAGGTATATTATACCAAAACCACACCAGTAGTGAGTGGCAACGCTATGATATAAACCCACCATGATCTTTGCTATGTGATGACACGCTATGATATAAACCCACCATGATCTTTGCTATGTGATGACCCAAGATCATTCCCTGTGCCCTTCTAAGAGTAATACATTAATGTTTAAATTATTTTTTCTAAACAATCAAGTAACTGATGAAAGGTTAACCATTATGATTCTTCTTTGAGATTAGTAACAGATCAATTTATATTTTGTCAATCCCAAATGTATTATGTTCAATTTGAGGTGACACAGAAATTTAGTTTTAGAAATGGAACATGATCTTTTACCAGAGAGAGGGTTTTTTTGGTTGTTTATTTATTTATTATTTTTTGCAATAATATATGTTGCAAAGGGACTAGAATATTACCCGTGATAAATGTCATTGCATTATGATCAAGCCATCAATTCACCAAAAAGACAAAAATATGCTAAAATGTATACAGAGACTCAGAGTACATGAAGTAAAAACTAATGGAACTGAAAGAAGAAATAGGTAAACCCACAGATGTAATTTAAGACTCCAACACTCCTCTCTCAATAATTTAGAGAATAGACATAAAACCTATAAGGATATGGAAGAGCTGAACAATACTATGAGCCAACTTGAACTAACTACTATTTATGGAATAATTCCCTCAACAACAGTGGAATACATATTATTTTTAAATGCACATTGGACATTTGCCAAGATAGATGATATTTAAAAACATTTTTTTAAAGAATTGAAATAATATAAAGTATATCCTTGAACAATATGAAATTAAACTTAAAATTTAACAAAACCTGAGAAGTATCTGGAAAATACCTACATATTTAGAAATTATACAATACACTTCTAAATAAATCATGCTTTAGTGTCATACAAAAAATTAGAAAATACTTTATTGGAATGAAAATGGAAATACACCATCTCTAGTTCTGGGATGCAATTTAAGCAAGGATAAGTGGGAATTATATAGCATTCAGTACTTGTACTATAAAAGAATAATGTTCTCAAATCCATGTTTTAAGCTTTCACCTTTAAAACTAGCAAAAAAAAATGAGTAAATTAACTCTAAAGCAAACAAAATTAAGGAAATTATAAAAGACTAGGGGCCCGGTGCACGAAATTCATGCACTGGGGGGGGGGTCCCTCAGCCCAGCCTGCCCCCTCTCACATACTGAGAGCCCTCAGGGGATGTCCTACTGATGGCTTAGGCCCGCTCCCTGCCCTCCTTGGGGAGTGGGCCTATGCCGCAGTCTTGCCTCCCTTTGTGGGAGGCGACTGGGCTGATCAGGGGAAGGCACCAGCCCCATCACCCCGCTGCTGCAGCCACTGCCAGTCACGGCAGCCACCAAGGTGTTTTCATCAACACGGACTCCAGTCCCTTCACCATGAAAAAATGACAACTTTCTTTAGGCATTTTCAAGATGTGTCTTTTTTTTTTCTAATTTCTTTATTGGTTAAGGTATTACAAATGTGTCCTCATCCCCCCATTAACCCCCCAACCTCCCCCCCACTCATGTTCTCATCCCCCTGTTGTCCATGTCCATTGGTTTGGCTTATATGCATGCATACATGTCCTTCGGTTGATCTCTTCCCCTTACCCCCACCCTCCCCTACTTTCCCTCTGGGGATTGATAGTCTGATCGCTGTTTCTCTGTCTTTGGATCTGTCCCTGTTCATCAGTCTATGTAGTTCTCTATATTCCACAAATGAGTGAGATCATGTGGTATTTATCTTTCTCTGACTGGCTAATTTCACTTAGCATAATGTTCTCCAGTTCCATCCATGCTGTTGCAAATGGCAAGAGTTCCTTCTTTTTTACCACAGCGTAGTATTCCATTGTGTAGATGTACCACCATTTTCTAATCCACTCATCTGCTGATGGACACTTAGGCTGTTTCCAAATCTTAGCTATGATGAATTGTGCTTCTATGAACATAGGGGTGCATATATCCTTTCTGATTGGTGTTTCTGGCTTCTTGGGATATATTCCTAGAAGTGGGATCACTGGGTCAAATGGGAGTTCCATTTTTAGTTTTTTGAGGAAACTCCATACTGTTTTTTCACAGTGGCTGCATGAGTCTGCATTCCCACCAGCAGTGCAGAAGGGTTCATTTTTCTCCACATCCTCTCCAACACTTGTTGTTTGTTGATTTGTTGATGATAGCCATTTTGGCAGGTGTGAGATGATACCGCATTGTTGTTTTGATTTGCATCTCTCGTATAATTAGTGACTTTGAGCATGTTTTTGTATGTCTTTCGGCCTTCTGTATGTCCTCTTTCGAAAAGTGTCTATCTAGGTCCGTTGCCCATTTTTTTTTATTGGATTGTTTATCTTCCTATTGTTAAGTTGCATGAGTTCCCTATAAATGTTGGAGATTAAACCTTTATCGGAGATATCATTGGCAAATATGTTCTCCCATGCAGCGGGCCTTCTTGTTGTTTTATTGATGGTTTCCTTTGCTGTGCAAAAGCTTTTTATTTTGATGTAGTCCCATTTGTTTATTTTCTCTTTAGTTTCCAATGCCCTAGGAGCATTATCAGAGAAGAAATTCTTTCGGCATATGTTTGCGATTTCGCTGCCTGTGGATTCATCTAGTATTTTTATGGTTTCCCATCTTACGTTTAAGTCTTTTATCCATTTTGAGTTTATTTTTGTGTATGGTGTAAGTTGGTGGTCTAGTTTCATCTTTTTGCATGTATCTGTCCAATTTTCCCAACACCATTTATTGAAGAGACTGTCTTGACTCCATTGTATGCTCTTGCCTCCTTTGTCAAATATTGATTGGGCATAGTGTTTTGGGTCGATTTCTGGGTTCTCTATTCTATTCCATTGATCTATATGTCTGTTCTTGTGCCAGTACCATGCTGTTTTAAGAACAGTGGTTTTGTAATACAGCTTGAAATCTGGTATTGAGATTCCACCTACTTTGTTCTTCTTTCTCAGGATTGCTGCAGCTATTCGAGGTCTTTTTTTTATTCCAGATGAATTTTTTGGAGCGTTTGTTCTAGATCTGTGAAATATGCCGTTGGTAATCTAATGGGGATTGCATTGAATCTATAGATTGCTTTGGGTAATATGGACATTTTGATGATGTTGATTCTACCAATGCATGAACACGGTATGTTCTTCCATCTGTTTATGTCTTCCTCTATCTCTTTTTTCAGTGTCCTGTAGTTTTTTGCATATAAGTCTATTACCACCTTAGTTAAATTTATTCCTAGGTATCTTAATTTTTTTGGTGTGATGGTAAATGGGATTGCTTTTTTAGTCTCAATTTCTGTAAGTTCACTATTGGTGTATAGAAATGCCATAGATTTCTTGGCATTAATTTTGTATCCTGCTACATTGCCGAATTCATTTTTAAGTCTAATAATTTTTTGATGGAGCCTTTAGGGTTCTCTATGTACAGTATCATGTCATCTGCAAATAAGGACAGTTTTACTTCTTCTTTTCCAATTTGGATGCCTTTTATTTCTTCTTCTTGTCTGATTGCAACGGCTAGTACTTCCAGTACTATGTTGAATAGGAGTGGTGAGAGGGGGCATCCCTGTCTTGTTCCTGTTCTTAGGGGGAATGGTTTTAGTTTTTGCCCATTGATTATGATGTTGGCTGTGGGTTTGTCATATATGGCTTTTATTATGTTGAGGTATGATCCTTCTATTCCTATCTTGCTGAGAGTTTTTATCAAGAAAGGGTATTGGATTTTGTCAAATGCTTTTTCTGCATCAATTGATATGACTATGTGGTTTTTATCTCTCAATTTGTTTATGTCAGGTTTATTCATTTGCGGATATTGTACCATCCTTGCATCCCTGGGATAAATCCGACTTGGTCATGGTGTATGATCTTTCTGATGTACTGCTGGATCTGATTTGCTAGGATTTTGTTGAAGATTTTGGCATCTATGTTCATGAGGGATATTGGCCTGTAATTCTCTTTCATTGTGTTGCTTTGTCTGGTTTTGGTATTAGGGTGATGCTGGCTTCATAGAATGAGCTTGGAAGTGTTCTTTCCTCTTGAATTTTTTGGAATAGTCTGAGGAGGATAGGTTTTAGTTCTTCCTTGAATGTTTGGTGAAACTCCCCGGTGAAGCTGTCTGGCCCTGGGCTTTTGTTTGCTGGAAGCTTTTTGATGACTGCTTCAATTTCTTCCATAGTTATTGGCCTATTGAGATTTTTAGATTCTTCCTGATTAAGTTTTGGAAGGTTTTATTTTTCTAGGAATATGTCCATTTCCTCCTGGTTGCCTAGTTTGTTGGAGTAGAGTTGTTCACAGTATTTTTTAACAATCCTTTGTATTTCTGTGGGGTCTGTTGTTATTTCTCCTCTTTCATTTCTGATTTTATTTGGGTCCTCTCTCTTTGTTTCTTGGTGAGCCTGTCTAGAGGTTCATCAATCTTGTTTATCCTTTCAAAGAACCAGCTCTTGGTTTTGTTGATCTTTTGTATTGTGTTGTTTTTTTTTTGTCTCTATGTCGTTTATTTCTGCTCTGATCTTTATTATTTCTTTCCTTCTGCTTAGACTGGGCTTTTCTTGTTGCTCTCTTTTTAACTCTTTGAGTTGTAGTGTTAGGTAATTTATTATCATTGTTTCTTGTTTTTTGCAGTAGGCTTGTAGAGTTATGAACTTCCCTCTCAAGATTGCTTTTGCTGTATCCCATAGGTTTTGGATTGTTGTGTTTTCATTGTCGCTTGTTACCATGATGTTTTTTATTTCTTCTTTGATCTCTCTGGTAACCCAGTCATTGTTTAATAGCATGCTATTTA